TCGATCATGGTGCTAAGAATACGGCGTGTCACTAAGAGCTCTCCGGTCTCTGGATAGTTGATTTCCTCTTCTGTCTTAATATGCTCTTCTTCTTGCTCCTCTTGTGATTCGTACCCTCCATCAGCATTGAGGATCATGATTCGCTGGTTTGGACACTCCATTGCGTAGTGACCCCTGCCATGACATTTAAAAAAAAGTAATGTCACGGGTTCTAGAATGGTTATTAGGGAACTTACCTTGATCGGGCCGATTAGTCTTAGACGGCTCAGGTGCTTGTTTCTTAAACCGAGACTCCACTTCAATCGCTTTGCCTTTGTCATATGGCTTTGGTGCGTTGGAGTTCCATTGCGGTCTATGTCTATTGGCGGCTGGTTTGCTCTTGACATCTTGTTTAGCGTGTATTGCTAAATGCAAAAGCTCTTGGAGGTCATGATACGAGTGCATATCAATCTTGCGAGAGATACAGTTTTGAAGGCCATCTAGAAACTGAGCCGTGAGATCCTCTTCAGGTATCTCGGTCTCTAGCCGGTTCTTTAGTTGCTCGAACTCCTCAAAGTATTCTTCCAGTGTCTTGTTTCCCTGCACAAGCTTCCTAAACCTTTTTAGCATCTCACGGTAAAGATATGGTGGCACATACCTCTTGCGGAGTTGGTATTTCAATTCGTCCCAACTAGTGATATGGCCATGTCGATGTCGTCTCCTATCGGCCACTTCTTGGTCCCACCACGAGAGGGCGTTCTCCGTGAATTGAGCTGCTGCAAAGGTGACCTTCTTTTGGTCATTGTACTCGTAGCATTCGAAGATAAGCTTGAGCCGTGCTTCCCAATCTAAGTAGGCCTCTGGATTGATTCGGCCGGCAAAGGTGGAAGCTGTTAATTTGGGGTCAATGCTGCTAACCCTCGGTGCTTCGTCTTCTTGAACACGGCCTCGGTGCACAGGATCCCTCACCCTCGGTGGAGGTGCGTTTTGGTTCTCTCCGAGCTCATGTCCTCCATCTTGTTGTCCATTAGGAGGAACATTGCGGATGGGTTCTAGCCGTACAAACAAGGAAACTCGTTAGAAACCTGCAAAACAAACGAAGGAAACTCGTTAGAAACTCAAATTGAAATAGGGCCAATGCGGAGTGTGAGAGGTCTTGAGGCCGTTGTGGGCTCTTGATGGGTTCTTGGATTTGTCTCGGTTGGGCTCCACACAGACTAAGGCTTGGCTTATTGTAGGGCTTGTGTTAGTTGATTCTTGAGGCTCGGTCATGTTCACTTCAAGGCCCTTTAGTGCTGGCTCGGATTCCATCTCCTTGAGTGATAAAGTTGGTGGGTGAAACACGAAGCTATGATCACTTTCTTGCACAAGTATTGGCTCGGTCCTCTCCTTGACTTGTTGCTCTTCAAATATCCTTGATATTTTTTATGTATGGCTGTAGGGCTCCATTTGTTGTAATAAGCTCTGAACTGCCTTACCAAATGCTTCCTGAGCTGCTCTAGTCCTTGAACGTGTTTGAGGAGCCTCTCTCATGACGAGTTTTGTAATGTCTTGTTCGGCTTCCTCTTCAAGGTAGATGTCCTCATCAGCTTCTTTTGTTTTTCTCTGAATTACATGAATACCAGGCGCAGACCTGTAGAAAAAATTCCAATTCTAGACGAGATAGATAGACACGAAAGAGAACTTCGAAGACAGAAAAAAGTAAGGAATGGCGGCTGTTGGGGTCGGTTTCACCCCAAGCAGATAAAACTATCTCAAAATGACTAAGTATGGAAGAAAACCAATTTGGCCAAGCTGCCCACCAAACATGGGCCGAGCTATCCCACAAAACAAGTGGGCCGAGCTGCACACGAGTGGAATGGGCCGAGCTGTGAACGGGCCGAGCCGTAAGGAGGAAGTAAGTGAACCGAGCCGCGTGAAGGATGTTCGATGGGCCGAGCTGTGCAAAAGAGCTAACGGGCCGAGCCGTGCTCGATATTACAAACGGGCCGAGCCACTCCCTTCCACAATTGGGCCGAGCCAAGGCTTTGAGAGACGAAACCCATAAAAACCCTAGGCGAAATATGAAGGCGGTGGCCGCACGAAGTGATAAGGAAATATTTCTAAAATCTCTCCCGAGAGTCTCGGCTAGGTGGTTTAAGGAGTTAGTATAAATAGGAGATTTACACGATTCATTATGTAACTTTTGCAACCCTAAGCAATAAAGACAAAACACTTTCACAGCAATAAAAACCCTCTTTCGATCTTATTGTTCTGGCGATTACCCTAGAAATTTCGGATCCCTTAGTTTTTCCTTACAAATTTTTGGTTGTGCGAGTTTTTACTCACACAATTTGGCACCGTCTGTGAAGACTCGAAACTTTCTTACTCTAAATCGACAAGACTTTAAGATCCGAAGAACATGGCGAGCAACACCCCCGACGATAACAAAAACAACAATAACAACAAGGATAACGGCGCAGAGAAGGACGCTCCAGCATCAGGCACAACGACGGCAACGACCGAAACCCAAGAGGAGATGCGAAACATGATGGCTGCGCTGATGAAGAAAATCGACGAGCAGGACAAAAGAAACGAGGCGATTACAGAGAGGCTCGACGCGATGACGGCTGAGCGACAACACCAAACTTGGAGAGCCGGAATTCCTGACCCGATGGATGGAATCCGGAGACGCTTCGACTTCTCAACGCCTACAGAGGCCTGATGCTGCTATGGTTGACTTCGCGGCTTCATGTTTTAAATTTATAACCCTAGATATCTGCAAGTGCACAGCAGTGCATTGTAGTACTTAGGGTGTCGATCCACAGAGAATCCACGCTTTACCTACAGAACATTAGAACCAGAATTAGTAAACGAATTCTAAGACGAAATACGTGTTCTGGATAGGTTGTGCGATTTCTATATATGTATTTTAAAAAGGGATTTAAAAACTAGAAGTGAATAATTCGATAATAAATCTAAAGGATGAACAAAGCTTTTAATATTGATCCTAGTAAATTCTTAGAACTCGAGTCACGGACGTATGAATACGCCACTGTCGTGATCCTAAACAACTATCTCTCGCAATCCTGACCAGTAGGTTTCCACTCTGGCCCTGGAGAGGAAAAGATGCATTATGTTTAAGACTCGTCAACATTCACAGCTCGCCCATAGGTAGGTTTCCACTCCTATGGTTGATCTGCTTTTCTCAAACTAGATCCAGCCCCGGATGAATACTTTCGCAACACCAAGGACCTAGATCAGTCTCTAGTTCGCGACGCTAGATCCATGCTTTAAGTATAAGTTTATAAGAAAGATTTCTAGAATTCGGCTTTGGTTTATCTCGCGAAGATCCTTATCGAACATAGTCGATTCCCTTCGATCGAGCCTTTAAACTCATACCTCATCATTCCAAAACGTGCATAAAGTAAATAGAATAGACGTGCATAGGAAAATAAAGAAGAAAAGAAGTAGAGAAAAACAGACAAGGAGAAGAAGAAGAAGCATCTCGATTTTAAGAGCTGGGCTCGGAGAAGAACTTCTCTTCAAATCCTTTAAACAACTAATCTAATATGAAGAAGATAAAAACGAAATTGAAAGATGCATAAGAGTAAAAAACCGAATTAAGATAAATGTAGAACATAAAGAGGGTCCAAGAGAAATCTCTATCTCCCTAAACTAAAAACTAAGAACATAAAAACATAAAAACCCTAGAAAACTAAACTTGGTGGCTCCCAAAAGGGATTCTTCTGAGGCACACGAAAATAGGTCTCCTTAGACACATATTTATAGGTCTTGAACTCTCTCCAGTCGTCCTTAGGGTTTCCAATGAAGAAAAGACGAATTGGGCTTGAAACAGGGTCATGGGCCAGCCTTTTAGTCGGCACCGGTCGCGAGGCTTTTGACCGCGGTGAATTGGGGTTCGGCCACGGCCAGAGACTCGTAACCGCGTTCGAGAGTGTGTTCTGGACCCGCGGGGATTGGTCTTTGAGGCTGAATCTTCATTATGTGCTTGCTTCCTTCGCGAGACTGCAAAACATGTCTTCAGTGCATCAAGGATATCTGGAGATCTAACCATTGGATTGTCTTCAAACCAATTGCATTTGAAAGCTAGTTTTCTCTTCTATTTTATGCCCGATTTTGGGGATGATCTGACGGTGGGAAGGTCTTCATCGGATGTGAAACTTCTGAGGATCCGAATTTAGCCAAAATGGTCTTCTGCTTCAAAATGCACATCTTTTGCCTTAATTACCTGAAAAGAGTCTTGGAACTACAAATACTAGAAAAACATACTTAAAACACTTAAAAGAAATAAAAAACATTTGAAAAGCATTTAAAAACGATCCACAAAAGTGGTCAAAATACGGTGTTATCAAGGCCTCGGGGAATGGTGCAAGAAACCCCTTGGCTCCACCAATGTTTCGTCCCCTCGGCGAACAGACTCCTGCGGCACCCCGAGTCAACATGACCGAGCCGCCTCCACTCCGTCGGAACCCAAGGCAATGAGCCGGCAAAGAGGAGAATGATGCGATCGACGTGGACGCCCAGCAGAACGATGGAACTACGAACTCGCAACAGAACGGCTCGGCTCGGCGAATAAGCCAAGAAGAGCTCGCCTCAGCACTAAACGGCATTCGGACTGACAAAATCACCGATCCGGCTCGCGGCGACAACCCGACTGAAGAAGAAGAAAACCTCCAATGGATCGAGCAGGCGGAGCGCGAAGACGAGCCGAGGAGAGAAGAGCGGGAGCGACTTCCCCAGTCAAAGGGAATGACTCACGCGCAAACTCTCAAAATCAAAGAGCTGCGAGCCTCAATGGCTCAGACAGTAGCTGAGATACGCGCCATGAAGTCTCAAGTGCACAACGCGACGAGTGCTGCGCCCGAGATCGATCAGATGCTTGAAGAAACCCAGAGAACACCATTCACGGCAAGAATCACGGAGGCTAGGATTCCCGAGCCCGAGAAGGTGAGAATCCCGTTCTACGAAGGAACAACCGATCCAAAGGCACACATCACAGCGTTTCAGATAGCAATGGGATGAACCTTCACAAAAAACGCTGCCAAACTGACCGGGAAGTAGATGCCGGATACTGCCTGCTCTTCGTGGAGCATCTTAAGGGAGCCGCGCTCGAGTGGTTTTCGAGGCAGGAGCGCAACTCAATCGGTAGTTTTCAACAGCTCTCCGCCCTGTTCCTAAAACAATACTCGATGTTTATGGATAGAGGAACTTCTGATGCCGACCTGTGGACGTTATCCCAAGGACCGAACGAACCACTTCGAGATTACATGGCAAGATTCAAGGCAGTCGTATCTAAAGTAGAAGGGATAAGCGACAAGGCTGCACTCGAAGCTCTGAAACGATCCCTATGGTACAAATCAGAGTTTCGAAGGGAGATGGCGCTGAACACGCCGCAAACAATTCAGGACGCTCTGCATCGGTCATCAGACTTCGTCGTAAACAAGGAGGAGATGAAGAACCTGGACGAGCAGTACGAAGCAACGAAAGCAGCGATCCGAAGTTCAATTTTGACGCGCCCCTCGAAGAAAGGCAACCCATCATACAACGCAACAACGCAGAGCTCGGACGAACCTAGAAGCGGAGGTGCCCACAACTACCAAGTAGGCACTGGACGCGGAAGAGGAGAGCCGCGCAACAACACTTGGGTAAGAAAGCCCACCAATTACGACGAAAAAGCATTCTGCGAGTATCACCAGACCTACGGGCATTCAACGGCACAATGCCGAACCCTAGGAGCAAAGCTCGCAGCTAAGATGGCGGTGGGAGAGCTCCAGAACGCGGTCAACCTCAAAGACCTCGTCCCTAATGAACCAAAAGAAGGAGCCGAGCCGAGCGGCACGGCAGAACTCGCAAATCCTCCCCGACGAGGCGATAACTCCAAGCGCGACAGGAGAGGCGAACCCGAAGAGCGACCCGAGCCGAGGCAAAGGATCAACATGAGCAACTAAGTCTGTTTCTTTCCAAGAGCCATCAATATAATGATAGACAAGACTTTTTATGGTCTCAGGGCTATCAATCCCCTTGTCAATGTAGCACAAAGAGGTTTATCAATCCAAATGTGGTGTTAGACACTAAGCTATATGTTCAAGTTCTTAATTCAAGCAAACAAGAATAGGTTTTGATTAATCTAGAGACAACTATAAACATAAACAGGTTTAAAGACAAATGACAATGACAAATGATGTGAATATGGTATGATGGAGGCATGAGATTCTAGACATGATAGTTGGTTAGGGTGCCTTGGTGTTAAACTAGAAATGCTAATGACAATGATGAGACATGATTCAAATGATTAAGAACTCTAATCTAGGTTAATCCTCTCATGAAGGTATTAACCCCTATACTAATCCACTTTCAAACCAAATTCCCATTTGTGAAACATGAATCAATATGCATTAACAAACAGCTCTTAATGATCATTCAAGCATTTAACAAATCATTCCCATGATGAAAAATTACTTAAACCTCTAACACAACTCTTTCAGGAATTTCATCAAACACTTTTGGTGCATGAAATTCCCAGAATCTAGATCTCAAGTGATTATCAAGGATCTAGCATAGAGAACAGCTGTTTAGAGAGATGAATCAATGAATCTAGCCCTAAGCACTCCTAATCTAACACTTTAGCACCCTAACCTACACATCTAGAACCTCATTAAGGTGACTACTCACTAATCATACTAATCTCTCTTAAACCTTTGCAAGTTGAGTAGATTAGCATGATTAATGATGAGAAATGGAGATGGAGATGATAGATTCAAAAGAAAACAGCTTTAAACACCCAGATCTCTTTAAACTCTCTTGATTAAACACTCAAATAAAGATATTTCTCTTCTTAATGGAGTCTTTTCACCAAAGAGGCAAGAGACAAAGGGAATAAAACATAGTTCTTCCCCCAAAAAAAAAAACCCTAAAAAGTATTTATACTTCCTTAAAAACGAACCGGGTCAGCCCGGAACAAACCGGGTCCTGACCCGGCTTTAATGGATAAAGTGGGAGTTACTGCGGGTCGGTCCAGTATGTCCCAGGTCGCACACCTAAGTCGCAGTAGATGAAGACTTGTCTTGTGAAACCTGAATCGCCCTGTCTTAGCCGCACGCCTAAGTAGGAGTGTTTTGCGAGTGTTGCTGCGGCTTGGACTCCTTCCTCTCCGACTCGCAGGGCTAAGGCGGTTTCTGGGGAATGTACAAACTGTGCGGGTTGGTCTCTATTGCACCCAGGTCGCAGGCTCAAGTCGGAGTGATTTGCGAGTGATCGTGCGGCATAGTTCCAGGCGCGGCTAACTCGCATGCCTAAGTCGCACGATTGTGGACTTAGCATTTCTCTTGCTCTTGAGCTTCAGACCTCTTCCAGTGATAGTTTACCCGCACATATCAACTCGCAGCATCAGCATTCAGGCGTTCATCTTCAGGCCTGCGGGTTAACCAAGTCGCAAGACCATCTCGCAGCATCCAGAGCAGCTTAGACCACTTCGCATTCCGGAGAGTGTAACTCCTATGAGACTTGTCCGAATTGAATGATTTCGGTTGCTGAAGACAGAGGACTCATTTATCTCCAACTTTGGTGAAGGAAACTTCGGTGCTTGGGAAGTGTAAGGCTTCCTGGAGGGCACATCTTTGCAGTGCATGTACGCGACCAGAGAGAGGCGTCTAGACATGTGTCCATTCCGGAGAGTGTATCTTTCTGCTCATAGATCCGAATTGAATGCTCTTGGACGTTCTGGAAAGAAGACTCAAATGTCTCTGGTTCTAATGAAGGACCCGGAAACTAAATCGGCCTGGAAGTGCACCGTCCTTCGCATCCTTTAGGACTGATCTGTTCGGTCCGGAATACCTGCGAGACTGGGGTTCCTTCCGACAAGCTTATCTCTCTGCTCACGCGTCCGAATTCCACGATTCCACTTGCTAAGAGACCGTGATGCAATGCTCTCCAACTTCTATGAAGCACCCGCCGTCTGAATCGGACCGGAAGGCTCCCCGGACAGGCGATTTCTGAGACGCGTTCATACCCGGAGATTTTGGCCGATACACTTCATTCGCGGTACATGAAAATGGCCGGTAAAGCTTCCCGCGGTACATGGAAATGGCCGGTAAAACCTTCCTGGCCAGCGAGAATGGCCGATAATCTCCCAGGACCCAATTTTTCCACTTTTTCAAGCTTTGCTCACCATTCCACCTCCTTGATTCATCTTTTCAGCTCCACATTCACCTGATAGACACTCAAAACATGCAATAGACTGATTGGGACCTAATGCATCTCCTAAGTTCTAAAACAAACCCTAAGGACCTAAAATGCATGAAATAAAACATGATTTGGAATGATTTATGCAACCTAAATGATGCAAATTATGAACATATCAACTCCCCCACACTTGTCCTTTGCTTGTCCTCAAGCAAAAAGAGCAAATGAGAGAAAGAGGTTGTATGCAATGGGAGTTCACATTTTCTTTTTGAGAGAAGTGATCACAATGAGAACTCAAGTTCATGCTCAATTATGCAATGCAAAGTCATACTCAGATATATATCAACTCAGCAAGGAATCTCCACAAGTTCATCTCTCTCTCAACTCTTTCACATTCATTAAGCTTTTATCAGGTGGATCTCATGATGCAAGGTTTAAACAAGCTGGCTTGGCTAGGGAGAGGCTATGAGATTAAAATGATCTCATCAGTGTTCAAGTGGGTTAAATGCAGCAAAGGGATCTCTCTATGAATGATCAAACTTTGGCAGAATGCTAAAGGTAAAAAGCAACCTATGCATACAAGGGCAAAGACTCATCACACCCCACCCTCTACTCAAAGCTTCCTCACTTGCTCAAAAATCCTCACTTTTCACTCTCATTTTCCTCTCACTAGGGGATTCACTTTTCACTTTTCCTCTCAAGTCTTGGAACTCAAACTTTACACAGCTCTTTTTCTTTTACAACTTCTAGCCTCTTCTTTCTTTCTTAACAAAACATTTGAGCCTTTGGCTTCTTTTCTTCCTTTTTCACTTAGAGACTAGACTCTTTCTTTTCAACAAACCAGAGCTTACTTTCTCAAAACACCAAGACTGACTTCTTTTTCTTTCATTCCCCTAGTTATTTTCACTCTCTCTTTCCCACTCATCTCACCTTTTTCCACTCACCAAAGAGTCTTTTCCCCCACACTTAATCCTCGCCAAAACTCTCAGTTCCTTGATGTTGGAACACAGCACTCAATGAGACTTGCCCTTGTCGCTCTAAACCTAACACTTTCTGCTAAGTTTGATCCAAGGTGGCCTTTCAATTCACACACAAACATTGGCTTAAAAGAAGGATGGGTTCAAGGTATGGGAACTGATCCTTGATGTGGATTCAGCTACTTGAGCTAAGGAAAAGAGTGGTGAAAACAGTGGTTCTAGCTCAAGTATGTATATTGGTATCCACAAGCTTTTTTCAAACAATGCATCACAAGATATTTTCAAGTCAGGTTCAAAGTTCCCACTTAATTAGAGTTGAGTTCAATTCAAACTTGCTTCTCAGATTCAAATCATTTCAGACTTTGCAAGCACAGAAAAAGATTCACAAGCATATTCAATTCAAGTTCTCAAAGTGATGTACTCTCTAGAAAACCTATCATTACTCCTTGCAAGATGCAATCTACATGCAAATGCAATCTAGACTCAATCCTAAAAATGAGAATGCAACTACATGATCATTTTTTTTTTGTGTAAAATTTTCAGATTTTTCCATTTTTTTTTGGTTTTTATATGTACTTAGATGAATATGCAACTAGAATGTGACTCAAGACTCAAAGTGTAAAATAAGAAAATAGAAAACATGATTAGTTAAGGATAAAACTCCTCCCCCACACTTAGATAACACAGTCCCTTGTGTTATAAAAGTATGAGAAAGAAGTGAAACCAAAGCAAACAGGCAAAATGCAAAAGAGAAAGAAAATCTACATGCTATTTACAAGGTTTTTAGTGGTACCTAGTGGCTGTTGAAATCGGACCCCAATGAGTAGGAGGGGTTCGATGTGTGGCCTGACGGTGTTTCCCAAGAATGGTGGCTGGCTTCATCACTTCCGTCGTCAAGATCTACCCAAGTGGTTCCATATGTGACCAAGGCTGTGCAGTTCATGGAACTCTCCCCAACTTCTTCTCTGTTCCTTGGTGAAACCGGTGCTGGAGCTCCACCCTTGCAAGGGTTTTCAAGCTTCTTGATCCTCTTCTTCATCTCCTTGATGCATTTGGCCATCTTGTGGATGGTTTTGTCTTGGTACTTGCACCATTGTTGGAGAATACCAATCCAAGAACAGGTAATTACAAACAAAGTGCTCTGTTTTCCAAGACTATCTAGCACCCTAGCATTTATAAAAATAATCCCAAGGTCTAAAACAACCTATCAAAATCGATTCCACACCTTAAAGTTCAAAAATCACCATTGAAGAACATGGAAAGAGGTGAATTTTAACAGGATGAAATACCTTGGGATTAAGATGCAACGAGTTCGAAATGCAATCAGGATGATGTTAACAACTCAAAAACGAGCTCAGAGCACTTTGAATCAACAATTTTGGTGGAGAAATGAGAGAGATATGGTGAAAACAATGGAGAGAAAAGAGAGAGAGAGAGTTGCAAACTCGGGTTTGTAGTAAGGAAGAGAGAGTGTGGGGTAGAGTCAAGCCTTTGGACTGGTGGTCAATAGATCTATTTTGACCAGTCAAGGCTTTGACCCATCCTTTTCTCATTGACCGGCCTCCTTTCTCTCTTTTGTGCGTCCGGGAACTGTTGGGATCGAGCCGTGTGACCGTCTCGGTGTAAAACCGGAAATAATTTTGTGCGACCTGGTCATCTTCTGTCTAATCCGCACAACCATCCCGCAGCACTCGGTACTTAGGCATTCTAGCCGTTCCTCTTTTTGCTGCGACTTAGTTTCCTATGCTTCTAGGTCGCACGCCCACGCCGCAGGGTTTTGTCACTTAGGC